TGAGCCGTTTATTTTGAAAGTGGCATAAGTCACTTTACCGTAATGAAAAGTGATGGCTTTTTAATGTGTATACGAAATTATTTATACCGAGAAAAATATCAGTATCCTGAGATAACAAATACAAGTAAATCTTCTCGAAAGTTAGCATCCATATTTTTCTCAGTATAAATAATTTCGTATACACATTAAAAAGCCATCACTTTTCATTACGGTAAAGTGACTTATGCCACTTTCAAAATAAACGGCTCAAATACGCTTTCAACCCCCGTTCGCTCTTTAAGGTAAAAACTCGAACATTTTCTACTCCAGTGTGTTGTAAATGTATTTATTTCAATTATAGACTCGTGAATAAAAGAGAGTTTTGTCGATTTCAAAGTGTCAGCTGAAAATGGGCGATTAGGGTTGACCACGCTTCGATCCCTTGACGAGGTACATTAGCTTATTAATTTAAGCCCACCGTGGATTTTTATTTAATCCGAAATGCGAAATATATATATATATATATATATATATATATATCTTTTCTGAATAATATTTCGAATTATATATTATATAATTTAATATAATATAATTATATAATATATATTAATTATTATATATAATATATAATAATTAATTATATATATAATTTAATATAATATATAATTCGAAATATTATTCAGAAAAGAAAATTTATGACAAGCATAACAGTTTAAGAACAACTTCTATACTATTGAGATCAATACGTTTCTACACCCCTAAATAGCTGACCATTGCATATCGTGCAAATACGACACAAATATTATATTATTCGTTATAACAGCGGCAACAAAAAAATATTTCTCATGTACATAATTGAACTAGAATTTGTTTGTAGATTAATTTTATATTTTCAACATTTCTAAGGACATTCAAATCGAAAGCCAAGCAAAGGCTATCGGTGCGACGAAAGTTCCGGTACTTTCTTTCTCTAGACCAACACTATTTCGTCAATGTTTTCAGATGAAATATTCCCCATTGTGCGTTCGTTATTAAATTAACGTTCTCTTTAATCGACATTTCTATAGCGTCAGTGGAAAACCGTTATCTCAAGCTGAAATTAAAACGATTCCAACATTATAATGAGAAAAGTTGAAAATTTCATATTTCATGTCAGATCTCAGACGTTAAGTCTTACTTAATACAATATTCAAAAGGATAGAGTTAAAGATAGAGGATAAATTTATAGTCAGAGCATTTACAGAGAGAGAGAGAGAGAGAGAGAGAGAGAGGGAGAGAGAGAGAGAGAGCACTTAGTCGCCGAGAAGAAGTTGCAATTTTGAAGCAATCGTCGAATTCATTTGGGACAGTCGAATAAATCGAGGTCGAAGCTGGTGTTGATGGAAAGAAACGACATTGAGTCATTTTTACTCTTCGCGCTCTAAATCTGGAATCATTTTTCAAAGTCACGGTATTTCCATTTTACATGGCTTAGGTCATTTTATGCATATGAAATTACGTCATGCGACTCGTACGACATTTTTAACAGTTTTTTTTCTTCAATATAACAATTCGTTGCGCTGCTTCGGAGTCGTCGTTCGAGTGCAAATGGTTAATCGAATTGGGTAACCATCTTTTTTTTTTTTAAATATTAAGGGGGAGCCTCGCGTAAACCGTGTTAAAGCAAGGATGATTTTTCGTAACCATCGATTATCGATTGATCTTTTTATAACATAAAACATCGATGAGATTTTTCGTTGCTTTTCATACATGTACATTTAACATTTCAAGAAACATAAATTTGTTTGTTGTTACATTCGATCGAAACCGTAATTGAAATAAAAATTTTCACGCTAAAGAAGCGACTCTAAAGAAATTGATAAAGAAGGAAAATTATTATTTTTATACAATTACGTATGTTTAAAAATACTTTGCGAGCGTGTAATACTTATCCGAGCATTTAGGCTAATTAAAGGGATAAACCGAAGAGTAAAAAGAGAGAGAAAATCCTGTCTTCTAAATTTATCTTCTCTCTAAAGTCTAAAGTGACCATTCTCTCCGTTAATTTATGTCATTTAGTCCTTTATTCTGTGAATAATTTTATTTCGCCCTTTATTTTGTAAATAATTTTATTTTATGAATAATTTCACTTCGTCGTTTGTTTTGTCGCTATAAATGACCGCGATTTATTTGACGTAGCTCCGTACATATATTAAAAGTTACATCGCCAGCGAAAAAATCGAAAAATTACGGTTAAATTATGAATCCTGCCGACATAGATGATTATAAAAGGCATCAACATTAACCCTTTGCACACGAAACTATTTTAACTGTAAATGTAAAATCATTTTTCTCACTTATAGTATTTTTATTTTATATGATAAAGTGCATTTTATGCATGTGAAATTAACTCTTGGAACTCGCACAACAGTTACGCTCTTAAGAATGTTTCAAA